AGTATTCAAAATGTTTCCCATAAACAATATATATATGGATGTTATCATATAGAAATATTCTGGAACATCAACCTCTACGTTATCAAATCGCGGCTCCTTATATCCAATTGGAAAACAATCAAACAACTGAAATGTCACCGACAAAATATCCATTCTTTTCAAATCGTTATGATTTGACTAGTCGAAGATGAGATTTTAGTAATAGATTTTTGTTGTATAACGCCTCATTCAGCACTATTGGCTACTTCCTGGTGGTCAGTTTTAATTGATGGAGATAGCCGAGGTGCTCAAAGACAACCACTGACCATCGCTAGGAAAACTGACAATCCTAGTTAATTAAGATTGGAGTCTAACGTAACTGCCTCTTGTGGTGTTCAAATCACATTTTGTATTACGTTAAAAGTCTGCCGGAATTTTTTAATACTAATTTGAAATCGGTTGAAAACAAAACTTTATGACAAAAGAGATGAGTTCAGTTTCCCAATTGTGAACTTTCCATTTTTATGTAGCCACATTCCAGCAGCGCCTGCATACGTAGTATATATCTCACAGTTGATACGATACTCCAGGGCTTGTTTTTCCTATCATGATTTTCTTGATAGAGAGTTGCTGCTCACAAGGAAGCTATTTAACCAAGAGTTCCAAGAGGTGAAGTTGAAATCATCCCTTCGTAAATTTTACGGACGCCATCACAAGTTGGTTGACCGTTACGGAATATCCGTTTCACAGATGATAGCGGATATGTTCCTAATGTCGTAACAACAATCCTGTCCCCTTTCCCGAATGTGACCCACCAAATTAGACTTATTACCGGGTTTGTACTAACATGAGCAACACGACGGGTGCCACATGTGGAGCAGGATCTGCTTACCCTTCCGGAACACCTAAGATCACCCCCAGTTTTTGGTGGGGTTCGTTTTGCTCAGTCTTTAGTTTTCTATGTTGTGTTTTGTGTACTATTGTTTACCTGTTTGTCTTTTTCTTTTTTAGCCATGGCGTTGTCTGTTTATTTTCGACTTATGCGTTTGAATGTCCCTTTGGTATCTTTCGCCCCTCTTTCTCATTGTGCGTAAGTTCGAACGTTATATATAAAGAAACTATAAGTTTATAATTTTCTCTGTTAATCAGAAGAGAGGCAAGAATATTCAGAAGAAATAATGAAAATAGATATATCTACAAAGAAATAATCGTCACAGAATGACGAAAATCATATATTCAGCTTATCATGTAATTCTGATCAAATGAAAATGGAAATCCATTATTTGTACTAAGGTAGTATGGGGTATAAACAAAAATATTATCTATATTTTATTTGTATAGAAATATGGTGAAAAAAGACATGTTTTTCTCCATTCTTTTTTTCAGGAATAAATGAATGATAGAAATTCCCCATATTGTATGATAAAAATTTCCCATATTGTATACATGTAGCAAAACAATAATACGTTTTAAAATGCAAGAACAAAATGCATAGGTCAGCGTCCATATAAAAAAAGAAAAAACCGTTCATTTTGGTTTCCAGGTAAACTTAAAGCAATTTTTATAAAACATATTCACATCAGATATGGCTATTGATTTAGATAATTAAAAAATTAGAGGGAACAGGTATAAAAACCCAAAATTGGCCCCTTAACCATCAAAAGAAAAATACTGAACAATGACGTTTAAGGATAGATAGCTAGGAAATATGGAACCCCATCTTAATTTTATTTAAGCCTAAAATAGGAAGTGTTTTATATCTGATTGGTTTGACAAGGGCGTATACATTTTATTATACATGTTAACATGTTGATTTAATGAAGGCAGAAACTTATTGGACAGTTTATTTGATTGAGTTGGTGTGTGGTCAGACTCAATTACAGATGTTATTCATGATCCAAATCCTCCTGCCCTCTATATACCTGAAATAAAATGGTCAAAACCTTAAATTTGCTGTGGATTCTTCAACGACTTTGTAACTTAAATTAGAAAAAGGCGTTTCCGAATAAGTTTAATTGCAATAATACACTTGACACAGTAGCATTAAATTTTTCAATCTTCAACGCTTCGTTGCAAAAACTAAAGTCTATGATTGTGTACGCTCGAATAAATTAAAAAAAACTAAAAGGGCAAATTCAAAGAGCATCGAGGCCTAAAATTTTGAGTGATAGAAAGTTGGTTGCTTAACGTGTAGTGGCAAATATTTTATGCATATTCAGGACGAGAACAACTTAACAATAATTAGTGCCTGTAATCGAGTACGTCCGAGATGAAGGTGTTATGTTTAATTCTTAAATTCCCGTTGAAAACTTATATGTAATTTTATTTTTAAAAAAGGGTTCCAACTCTCTCAGGCAAAATTGAACTTAACAGAATGAGGCTTTTGTTTTTATATTCCTTTTAGTCATATCGATCCTCGCGTTTTCAGTTCTTGGATTTCGCTATTTTGGGTTAGGATCATTCCTTATGAAAATAAATTCAGAAAAACGCCTCGGACGCACGAAATCATGCAAAGGGCTAATTTCGTTAGCATAATGATTGCGCCAGCAGTAATAGTGATCATGTTCAAAGGTGTTTTTGAAGTCCTTCAATGCCTCTTTACAGATGTGTATTATATCATCGACGGTAAAAAGTCAATTTTAGTTTATCACTTTAACAGTGTGAATGTTAAGAGATGTGAAATGTTTTACATCTTTTATCCAAAGTAAAAAATGGCATATCGAGAATAGTAAAACTTTTGAAAAGAGATGCAGGAAGTAAATTTGCATCGGATTCCTTTTACTGCTTAAACCTCTTTTATCAGATAAGATACCAGGATTAGAATTGTGTACGCCAGACGCGCGTTTAAGACATCTCAGTGACGCTTGTATCAGAAAAATTTAAAAGGCCAAATAAAATACGAAATTGAAATGCATTGAGGACCCAAAATTCCAGCAGGTTTTGCCAAATACAGCAGAAAAAAAGAATGGAGCAGGTAACATATTCCTGCCGAAGAAAATAGTTAGTATTTCGAAACATTCCCAGTTTTGTAAACAGTTGATTTATTGCTATGACCATGTCAGTGATGATTCATGTCAACACAGAAGTGCTGATTGCTGGGCTGGTCATACTCTCGGAGAGGATACTACCACCAGCAATGACATCGGCCCACTTCAAATCCCACAGGGAAAAAAACAAACCATGACACCGACTTTTACGGAAAACAGTATATTTCAGGTATGATGAATAGGTAAACATATCAAAAACGTATAGAATTAGGGCGATAGTTTACAATGTCCGAATGTAGGGAATACGAAAACAAACATAAACATGACACTGACAATACCGGAACCTGATATTTGTGAAATGTAGTGGTTTACTGCTAAAATATTATATATTTGTATTTTACCTAATATTTTTCTACACAATCATGTTCTGATTGTGACGAATTTCTATTTGCTCGGTATTTACAATTTGAATTATGAATACTATAAACATATTTCATTGAAGAGAAAAAACTTTTTCTGACATTAAAATTTTAAATGAAAAATCTTCTTAACGTGACATAATCAGTTATAAACATGTTTCATATGCAAATGATATTGCTACTTCTGTACCTTTTTAAGGAGCAAATTTGAATGTCTGTGATTAACTTTAACATATAGAAAATATTAGAATAGCATTAGTGCGTTTCGACAAAAGCATCTCGAGCAAACTATTCCAGCAAAAACAACAAACTAACAATGAAATTGACACAACGAATATATAGGACAAACAACTACAAAAATGATCTAACAAAACATAACTTATGCAGTGTTATAGAACACATACCCATTTAAAATGATGAGAAATAAAAAAAAAATCCTGAATGTTACCAATATAAATTTAATCTATAATGAGAATTCAAATGTCGCAGACTATCAAAATAGTACACTGGTAAAACTAAAAAGCCCCGTAATTCAAGTTTATGATATTGAGTATATTACCATTAAGTCGCATATTCGGAAAGAAGCATACTTCATATGTTAAGCACCTCTTAAAAATTTTTCTATGCGATTTTAAAAAAAAACTTTATATTTAGAATAGTTTAACTTCTCTTAGTAGCCCATTTTAATATATACAAGACTGTATAACATCCATTCCTTTATTTAAATGTAAATGGCAAAGATATAATAAGATATTTGGTTGGTGATATGTCACGAATTATAGCCTTAAAACGTTGAAATAATCAATACCAATTACTTTACCAGGTAATAATTTAATTTTAGCGTGCTTGGATTTTACATCTCATTCAGTTCTCTTCAAAGTGCTTTTTAACAAATAAGCTTTTTCATATTGCATAAACAAAGTTTCCTTTTAACAAATCTTTTGTGATTTGAGTTATATTTGCAACAAAAAATATGATTTTCACAATATACTTTATACGGACAGTGCTATCACAAACGGAACATTATATTAATTTTCATTGTTGTTGTTGGTTTTTTTCCTTTGCTGAGACCCAATGGTGTATTATATTTTCACTGTTTTTCACTAAAATTTCAGTTGTAGTTAAGTTGTTTTGTGTTTTCGTGTTTGTCGAATCTGCAACATTTTATAGCGGAAACGAGACACGACAATCATTGTCAAACATACATTGAATGTTACGATCCATTACGCTTTTTAGTTTTGAGTTTACATCAGCTTATCTTTCAAAACACCGTTAATACCAAAATGAAATGAAGAATTGAAACAATTTTTTGTCAAAACCAAAAACCTCTTTTATAAAATCATATTAATTTATAAATTACCATCTTTTTTTCAAAAAAAATGAAAACATATTTATTCATTCAGTAAAGATTACAGATTGCTTGTAATTCTTTAAGACCATTTTGAATACAAATCAATGACCAAGTAGACATGCAAATTAAAAAGCCACATTTAACTAACACACGCACATATATTCATTATTTGCGTTATATTGTATAAGGTAGTTAAAACTTGTAATTGGTTTCATATGAACGATTGTAAATATAGATTCTAACTTTATTGAAAGGAAATAGTAATTTAAATGATAACGACTTTATTCATACGTTGTATGGGGATAAAGTATTTAAAGTCTACAATGGAAATAGCTGTGACGATGTAACCGTCTATTATTTTTCTAATCATCGGGGAAGACATGTCTTCTTCCAATGGTAAGTTGTAATATAAGACCGAGTATACCGCTTTATTTTCATATTTGAATTATTTTGTCTTGCTTTTTGATTTAGACATGTTTAATATTGAATATTCATAAACTGACATAAATTGAATTATAGGAAATTTTCATAAATTTGTAAGCAATATTCGGTGCGGTTTTTGGAGCTTGACGACAAAAATTATTTCAATAATACGTCTATAAACAACCAAATTCTTCTGGTAAGTAGATGGTAGAATTAAAGTAATAATATAAGCCAATATGCTGAATCATTTTTTATTTAGATAGAATAATAAAATTCTGTCAAATTAAGTAATAAATAGTCTCTTGTTGTCTTTTTGGCAATCAGAACACAACTAATTTGTATAACATTTTGCACTACTATATCTATTGTTATTTAGTTGACACGATATGTAACTTATTGCGACAGCATTTATCCCAAACATTTTTTAGGGCCAAATATTTTATTGTTGGTCCTCAATGCACTGCAACTTAGTACCTTTTTTTATTCGAGCGTCGCTGATGAGTTTTTTTAGACGAAACGCACGTCTGGCAAACAAAATTTAAGCCTTGTATTTTTGGTGAGTTTATTAGCATTTACCTCTGAGCTGTTTACATACTAGTGTGCATATGTTAACAATATGTTAACTATATTCATTGGTGTAAATGAAATAACGTGAAGTTTTTAAAGGGGACAAGGTCTTGGTCGCCCACATTGATGATCACTGCTTTCCTTAATGAGTGTTTATGCTTATTTTTTATTTATTCACTTTAATGTTGATGATGTATTAGTTTAGTTTTTTTTTTTTTTTTTTTTTATTTTTTTGTGGAAAGAGGCGGTGTTGTAATTATATTCATTACATTGGTTGCAATGAACTACATTGATTTGCCGCTGAAATAAAAACCGATAATTTCACATGTGAAATAGACGTGGTTATTTCACTCCTCTGACGTCATACAATAATATGCGTTGTAAAGACGTTGTCGCTGACGTCTGATCAAAACAAATTGTAAATGCGTAGAAAATGATATAGTTTATTTTATAAAGAAAAAAGACATTTGCCAATGTAATATAAAGAATAACTGATAATTAACTCATGCGCTACGCGAATTCTTGAATTAATGTGTTGTTCGGTGAATCGTTGAATATTTTTCTATATTTGAATTCTTTGATTAGTTATTCTTTAATTATAACATATGCTGGTGTAAATAAAGAACTTGACTTTTCATGGTCTATTTCATAGAGAATCATAAATTTACATAATATTGCGAAGTTTTCGTTAGTGCGATTAATGCGACTGGATGAAAGTAGCATTCTGCATTCGAAACATAATTATGTATGTTAATTTTCCTGAAATCGCAATAACTTATCTCGCATGTTCGTTCATTTTTCCAAAATGGCAATAATAAATGAATGCAAAAATTTCTGAATTTAAAGTATTGTATTTTCTAATCAAACTCCATCTTACCAGGTTATATTGTGTTTGCAATACCGTATATCGGGCTTTTTTCGCGTGTGTTTAATTTTCGCTTTGTTCGCGGCAGCTAAAGAAACTCGAAAATTTGACCCCGCGTAAATTTCCCTGCATATTCATAGATTTATCGTTATTGGAAAGTTTCTAACATTTAACTGTTAATTATGAGGTCTTCTATGTTGTCCGACGACAGACCACAAGAAAGATGTTTTCATAATAATTAAATTGGCTTATCGTACGTGTCACACCGTTTGACAACACAGCAATCAGTGACATTTAAAAAAATGTTAATTAGCGACGATCTGTTGATTGGTGTCATAACCCCAAAAAATTGCATATAATGTCAAAATAAAATAAAAATTAATCAGATTTACACGGATATCCGTACATCTGTAATGATCAAAAACATCAATTTATTACCATGTCCCAATATACATAATTAACGTTACTTGAAAGTTCTCTGACTTATGTGTATTTAGGTTTGTAGTACTCATATTTGTTTTTAATCGATTACCTGCCATCCAATAAGATTTGGTGTTTACATCTTTGACAACACGATACAGTTATTTTTTCGCGTGTATTTTCCCATTCAGCGAAAATTATACACAGTGAAAATTTAACCTACCCATTTTGTCATCAATTCGCGAAAAAAAGCCGATGCGAAAAAAAAACCCGATATACTGTATGTTATTTGATATCATCTTTAATCAAATTATGTATAATATTGTCAAAAGTTTAATTATTCATAGCTTGAATACAAACAAAATTATATTTATTTCAGAAATAATAGAATCACGCTTTTCCGCTAAATATGGTAATTTACTTAAATGGCCATATCAATCCATACCGGGAGATCACCAACATAGTTTTGAAAGCATAAGTAGTGAGTTTGATGACGAAGATATCAACGGACTTGTTTCCCATTTAGAATCAGAATCAGGACAGATGCTGCAAACACATGGATGCCATAGGACCTCATTTTTGACGAAATTGCATTCAATTGAAAGTAACAGAAAAGGGACAAATGGAGATGAAAAAATCTATATAAAAACACTCTTCGACAAGACCCTTAACTCACTACAGGAGACGTACACAGTGTTCCAAAACAGCAAACTTCATCTAGCTGGCAGTATGGGCGAACAAACCAAAGTTGGCAGACCAGATGAATTCGATTTCGTTATTATTCTACCACAACTATCAGAGATAGATATATTTTATCCAGACCGTATGGATAAAAATAAACATATCCGTGAATTTGCCAAAGATTTCAATTTTGGATACCCGGATGCATTTACAAATGATATCAGATTTGGAATACATGAATTGCTACTAGCAGCATTGGTTGAAAATTTGAATGATGATTGGAAAATAGTGCTGACGGGTTGCAATTTCTTTACTAGAAAAACTGCTGTAACCTTTCATTTGGTTCGTAGCGCAGACTGTTTTGAAGTAGATATCGATGTTACTATTTTGATTCCTTTTAGCAAGGCCACACTCTCCCCACATGCAGATGACTTGAAAATAAAGCAGTACTATATAGATAAGTTAGCTAACGACGACGGAGTTATCTATGCTATTTTCAGATATGAAAACCACGCATTTCGACCAAGCAAAGCTCATCTTGAGAAAGCTCTTTTAAAAACAGAGAGCAGACAAAGGGTTTACACTGTAGCAAAACTCATTGTTAAAACATTTTTACCGACAATGGAGGTTCGCGCACATTGTAGACGATGCAAGGAATCAATAATTGGCTCGTATACACTTAAGAACATCCTTTTTTATATGATACATGCTTATCCAGATGATTCATGTTGGTCTGACGGTCATTTTAGCACACGCGTAGTAGAACTCTTTGTTATACTTAAACATTGTTATGACCAAATCTTTTATAACTTTGTTGAATACGTCTCGATGAAAACGAAACATCTTGAAAACAAATTAACATATTCACCATCTTTAAAACTTTTGATTCCAAAAGATGACACAGTGACCAGCGATATCAGACAAATGGATAAATGGATAAATCAGGAAAAAGAATATGAGGGGTCAACATTTCGTGAGTTGAGTGAAATACACTTCCAAATGAATGCCAAACGATTTGGGTCAAATGCAGAGTTATACACGAGGACTAGCATAAAAGACAAAGTGAAGTTTTACTATGGACACTTTGATGGAGAGATCGATTTTAATCCATTCGAAAGTACACCAGGCAAACGGAAGATCGATCCTAAAGAACCAAAAATAGTCCATAACAATGCAACTCCTCTTTCATGTTTCCTTCCCTCTACGGAAGATTTGTTTGATATTATTGACGATGCTTCCTTCCGAAGAGAAGTAGACAAGTACTTTTGTTTTCTACAAAAAGAAACTTGGGATTTTAAGGAAGTGATTACCAAACTAGTTCAGTTACTTTTAACAAAGTAAAGTACAAAGAAGGCAAAAGAACGTTTTACATTAGTTATAAATATTTAAAGGACATTAAGGACACAATAACACATTTTCGGGAAAATTTAACAAATATATCAAATGTATATGTTATTATTCATTTATCAAGCACTTGTATTTAAAATGTAGCTCATAAACAGTATATATTTATGTTATCAGATAGAAGTATTCTAGAATATCAAACTCTGTCGTTTGTTGCTGTACTGTATATCATATTTGTATTTCGTTCAATGTTTTTGCATTAATCAGGCCGTTAGTTTTTACGTTTGACGTGTTTTACATTTGTCATTTCGAGGCCTTTTATAGCTGATTTTGTGGTATTTGTTTTGCTCATTGTTGAAAGCCGTACGTTGACATATGGTTGTTAATTTCTATGTCATTTGGTCTCTTATGCAGAGTTGTCTCAATGGCAATTATATCACATCTTCCAATGTTATATCTACGTCACCAACACGCGACTTGTTATATCCAATTAAAAAAAACAAACAACTCAAAAGCCACCGACAAAACATCGATTTTTTGAAAATTGTTGTGTTTTAGGAGACGCAGATTTGATTTTAATTTGATTTAGTTTCGGTGATTAACACCTATTCAGCACTATTAGCTATTTCTTGGTGGTCAGTTTTTATTGATCGAGGAAGCCGGACTGCCAAAGGAGAACCACTGACCTTCGGCAGGAAAACTGACAATACTTGTCACTCAAAATATCTAACGCACCTGCCACATACGGTGAAAATTACTTTTTGTATGTGTTTAAAAGTCTGCGGGATTTTTTCTTATGTTAATAATGATACACATTAAGCACAAGTTCGGAACTTATATATAAAAAATCTGTAAGTATTTTTCTCTGTTATTCACAAAAGTGGCAAGTGTATAAAATCAATTTCAAGGAGCATTTATTTGAATTTAATTGAAGGCAAAAACTCATTGAACTATGTTACTTGATTAAGTTGGTGTGTGGTAAGACTCAATGACCGATGTTATATACACAAAATCCTCCTGACTCAAAAAACCTGAAATAAAATGGTCATTGCCTTAAATATGCTGTCGAATCTTCAACGAATTGGTAACACAAATTAGAAGAAGGGATCTACGAAAATTGCAACAATACACTTTACACAGCAGCTATATATTTGGAGTTTTCAATGTTCAACGCTTTGTTTCAAAAACTCAGGCTTATATTTCTGTACGCTAGAATCAAAAAATTAATGAAAATGCCAAAGTAAAGATTTGAAGAGCATCGAAGCCCTAAAATTTCGATTGATTGATTTTTGTTTGCTTAACGTCCGGTGACAAATATTCCTTGCATGATCAAGACGTGAACAAATAAACAAGAAAAACAATAGTAAAATGCGTAATGTAAGGCAATAACTCACATAAGAAGTCAGTAGACAGTTTTTATGTAAATGAACAGTAGGTAAATCTCTATCTGTAGATGCTTTTAAGATAAAAGAGAAAACTTGCATTATATCCTATGTTGGACATGTTGGTTGGTAGACTGGGTCATATGACACATCGGTACTACTTCACCTCATAATAATTATAGCCAAGTTTGGTTAAATTGGGTCCAGTAGTTTCAGGAGAATATTTTTGTAAAAGTTAACATACATGTACGACAACAACATTCAATGACAGACAGTGATTGGAAAAGCTCACACAACATTTTTACTATCAAAAAATTTTGTCTCTATTAACTTTAGTTTCACCAAAAAGAAATGCAAAAAGGGTAAAAATCATCATGTAAAGGCAATACAAGATGATAAAGAATAAAACAATTTATTTAAATGAAACACATACATCTGACTGTGTAAGAAAAAACTAAATATATGTCATAGGTGTTCTTTTATGTAAAAGTTTTTAAAAGTGAATTTTATTGAGAAAATATATTATTTTAGAAAATATGAAATTATAAAATAATTGTTTGACAAATTTAAATTTAATTTCTCAGGTATATTTTGTGAAACATGTCGCTTGTTAATAATTGCTCATAGCAACACTTTGGTATCTTGTCAATTATCATTAATTAATCTCAGCAATATTATGTTTTAATTACTATTATAAATGTAATTAACGTGTATCTCTGTAATTGACATTATTCCTATTTCTCCTTTGGACATTGTAAACAATAGTATTAATACTCAAATTATCTCAATTATCAAAATTATCAATGTTTGTCATTTTACAAGCATTAAGAGCCTATACAAGAGATCAACAAGATGATTAGTATGATGTACTACTTGGAATTTTAATGGCCTATCGTGCTACACCCGCCACTCAGTCAACTGATTATTCACCATTCTGTTTACTTTATGGACGAGAAATGACATTACCCATTGACACCGCGCTAATACCAAAAGATCGTTTAAGCAGAATACTTCAAAATTTGGAAACTTCAAGAAAAATAGCTGCTAAGATCATCAAGCAAGCTCAAGAAAGATATAAACAACAATATGACAAAAAATCTAAGGAACCTGAATTTCAACCAGCTCAACGTGTTTGGCTTTATTGTACCAAAGTTCCTGTCGGAAAAGCACCAAAATTACACAGAAAATGGTCAGGGCCCTATTATATTACCCGTATTGGACCCAATTGTACTTATAAACTTAGAAATTGTGCGACAAACAAAGAGGTTAAGTCAATGGTAAACCCTCGACGAATGAAGTCATATTACGTACAAAAGTACCGACTAATTTACCAGAGGATTTTCAAAATGACAACGAAGAACTGAATCCAGAAGAAATACAAGATGACAACATCAATGATAATGATCAACTTTTACCAAACAACCATCAACAACCTGTGCAACAAATCAACAACAATGGAATAAATAGACAACAACCACCCATTCCTGTAATTAACAACAATAGGCCAACTCAGACCCAACAACAGCAACTTCCTGTTGATAGAAACAACAACGGACAACAACAAAAGCAACAACCAGCACAAAATAGTGAAACAAATAAGAGAACTGCAGGCCCTTCAGTAGATTCAACCGTAAATGCACCTGTTAAAGACAACAAGCCATCTTGTCAGGACTGTAAGAACAATAAGTGTAAGGCATTCAAAGAAGAGGAGATTCAACAAGTTTTATCGTCAGTCAAAGGTAACGGTACATTATATTATCAACTTAAGTTTACCGATAAATTAAGGAACACAGAATGATATTTTCCGTGCAAGGTCCCAGCAAAATTAATACGAGAATTTCATGCGCAACGTACAATGAGTGTTGACGCCCATTACAGCAGAATAAACATAAATTCATATGAGGTGATGTAGTACCGATGTGTCATATGATCCAGTCTACCAACCAACATGTCCAACATAGGATAAAATGCAAGTTTTGTCTTTTATCTTAAAAGCATCTACAGATAGAGATTTACCTACTGTTCATTTACATCAAAACTGTCTACTGACTTCTTATGGGATTTATTGCCTTACATTACGCATTTTAGTATTTTTTATACCCCCGCCGTAGCGGAGGGGGCATTCAGTGTTACCCATGTCCCTCTGTCCCGAACGTCCCCAAAAATTGGTTTCCATTCTTTAACTTTAGTTTGCCTCAACCAAACCAAATATAATGATACTTATACACAATGCTTATTACCACAAAACACAGTTCAAGTTCGAAATTGGGTGGCATCACTTTTACCGTTCATGAGTTATGGCCCTTTATAAATGGAAAAATTGCTAAATATGTCTTTTCCGTTCTCTAACTTTAGTTTGCCTCAACCAAATGTTATGAAACTTATACACAATGCTTATTACCACAAAACACAGATCAAGTTCGAAATTAGGTGGCGTCACTTTTACCCTTCATGAGTTATACCTCTTTATAAATGGAAAAATTGCTAAATCTGTCGTTTCCGTTCTCTAACTTTAGTTTGCCTAAACCCTTTTTCATGTCCTGCTTGTTGGAACAGGGTCGCTTTGTCATGCCCTGCTGGTGAGAACAGGGTCTTTTTTTAAACAAAGTATTTGTCTACAACAGGATAGCTTATTTAACTGTTTAAGATACAGTCTAGAACCCGGGTCTAGAACAGCATCTATTTTATACGGTCTAGAACAGGGTATACATTTTCTGAGCGTGTCTAGAACAGGATATGTTTTTCAATATTTCTGTTGAGAACAGGGTATGATTTGGCAAGTGCTGTCGGCACAGTTATACCCGAAATAATAGCCAGTAACCCCCCCCCCCCCCCCCCCCCCCCCTCCGGGTACAGTATGCTTATAATCACAAAACAGTCTTAACGACGTGAATCATGCATCGGTATGTGGAACATGTCTCATGCATATTAACAAGCGGCTGCATCTGTGGCCCATAGACACAACCTCCATTTATTTTTTACGCCCCACCTACGATAGTAGAGGGGCATTATGTTTTTCGGTTTATGTGTCCGTCCGTCTGTTCGTCTGTCCGTCCGTCTGTCCCGTCCCGCTTCAGGTTAAAGTTTTTGGTGAAGGTAGTTTTTGATGAAGTTGAAGTCCAATCAACTTGAAACTTAGTACACATGTTTCCTATGATATGATCTTTCTCATTTTAAGGCCAAATTAGAGTTTTGACCCCAATTTCACGGTCCACTGAACATAGAAAATGATAGTGCGAGTGGGGCATCCGTGTACTATGGACATATTCTTGTTATAATTTGTCTAATATCTTGAAAACTGAAATATTTAAAAACTTTAAATGGCAAAAATGATCAGCAAGAAAAGATAACAACTTGGTTGAAATGTCTGACAACCCTTTATTTGAGTTGTTGCCCTTTAATGACAATTTTTACCTTTTTTTTTTTGCATTTTAGCCTATAATATCTGAAATCCTATAACAGATAGAAATTTATCAGCAAGATACAGGTCTTCAAACAAGTCATTTGGCGAAATTGTGTGATTGCCCTTAAATGATGATTGTTTTTTCCTTTTGCTATGTGTTTTGGGCAAAAACTAAAAAAGATAGAAACACAGTAAACAGAAAAATATGATAAGCAATACAAGATCTAAAAAAAACGGATTTTTTTTACATGAATTCTATTATAGTCCATAAATGTTGGAGAGTGTCCATTGTTGAAGATGCACATAGACCTAGGTGAGCCACACAGGCTCTTTTGAGCCTCTAGTTTGTGTTTTGTATACTTTCTTGAAAACTATAATAGTTAGATAGAAACTTTAAAAAGCAGAAATGATCAGCAAGACAACGTCTGCAAATATGTAATCAAAGAGGAAATTCTCAGTTGCCTTCTAATAGGAGATATCATGACCTAAAATGACA